CCCCCCCCCCCCCCCCTTTTTTTTTTTTTTTAAATTGAACTGGACCAACAAAACTACTTAAGTATTTCTTTCTTCCTTATGCAGTTGCTCGTGCCTGCTTTTGTTATCACAGAAAATGAAAAGTTTAGAGGCAATTTACTTTGTTTTAGAGTATTCATTGCCTCTTGAACACTGTGTCTGTAGTGAACATGCTTCCAGGGCAAGAAAAACATTTCTCTTTGTAAATAGGGAAACTGAAATGGAGGTGTGCTGGAGGTGTCTCGGTGTCTGTTGCAGGATTTTTATTCCTAGCCTGGCATTCAGTCTGCTGGGCCCCTCTGTCCTCTTCTGGGGTGCTGTGTGTTCGTTCCTGTCATAGACTGCAGCTGCCATGTTGATGAATGACACTTCTCAAAACATCTCCAGGTTGGCTACCTGCAAAATGAGCCATTTGTGGCCTTCGGGAGCAAGCGAGGAGATGGTGGCCGAGGAAGGGTTCCTGTCATGACACTGACTCGCTGCTGATGTTGTGATAAAACTTCTGTAGCAAATTCGTGACAGTCTCTACAAAAGCAAAACGAACCCCCCCCACTGTTTCCACATCATTTTGAAACGGAGGCATCAGTAGCTGTCAGGCTTGTTGGAAGGTGTGAACAGGATCTCTAGGTGTTGTATGGCTCCTCACTGAAGATTTTACAGTTTCTTTTCCTGGGATTGTTAGATTATGGTGAATTCAAACAGTCAACACGACAGCAGCAAGGCTTGTTCTAGCCACAGCATTTCAAGCAGTCACCCTGTGTGTGGGAGTGTTTTAGGAATAACATCCTCTGGGCTGGTGATAAACACAGGTCATGAGCCTGTCTGCAGTGGCAGGGTCCCATGGGGGAATGCTCCTCGGCTTTGTTTTTGTCAAAGGGGAGCCGATAAAGACGCTGTTTTTCAGCCATCCACATGCAGGTGAAGTTTCAAAAACTGATTTGGGGAGTTTGTACACTGAGGTGTGAGGCTGGGCTTGTGTGGGGGTTTAAGAAACTCATCAGTTTGCCTTTTCGAGCTGGACAAGAATCCCTGAACTTTAGTATTAGTAAGGTACATTACTTCTACATCCATAGGTTAGTATAAAAGCCCCTGGTTTCCTACTTGTGTATTTGCCTGTGGAGATGCGATTATTGGCCAAAACCAGCTGTTTCTAAGCTGCTTACAATTTACATTATCAAGGTGTGTTTAAGCATCTGTTAGAGACAGAAACTAGAAATTAGAGACAGAAACAGTGGTTCTGCTTGAAGTTCTGGTGGGCAAACGTAAGCAAAAGAATGTAACAGCATTATTAAAAAGTTAGCAATGTTTTGATAAAGTTCAGGCTTGTAGAGAAATCTGAAGAATGAACCTATTTGAAGAGAGACCATCAAATGGAGCATTTTGTTCGACTGTTGTCCTCTGTACTGTTCTTTGTTGAGGTGTTGTGCTCTATTTGTTTGAGTCTGTAGTCAGGTCCTCATCAGGGATCAGGGTCACACTGTGGTACGAGTGTAGAACATATATGATGTTAATAGACAGTTTCTAGCCAACTTGTGGCATGTTTTGTGTATGTAAAGCAGTAAGTGTTTTCCTTTTTTCCTGTCTCTTGCTGGGTGATTGTCTCAGCTACCTGGTTTAGTGGGATTTTCTGTCTGTCTTGTCATTGGTAGCGCTGAGAGGTGAGCGTCTTCTGTTCTGTGTGTCCTGCAGAGTTGGTCCTCTTGTCCTAGGGTAGTCAGTCTGCTATAAAACTCTGCTGCCTGGTAGCCAGCTTATTCACTGCTCTCATTCCCAGTTCTCCGCCAGTTCTCATTGCCTTTTTAGTGCAAGTCACTTGCCTTTCTTCACGTGCATTACTCTCTTATTAATAGTGTACTTATCTGGTCATTACCACTTCCAGGAGCATTTTTGTGTCCTGTACACTTTGGAGGGGGATAAAGGGTGATTGAAAGCTTATTGAGAGGTTTTCATCACCTGCATTTCCTTTTGGTTTGAATCTCATGTTCTGCCTCCAATCTTTACGATGGTTGAATGTGCACAGATGCAGCATTGCTCCTAGATAGTGTGAAGCAGGCTTTTCATGTATGCAGTCAGTCATTAAGTGGCTGTGGGTGCTCTGCAGTTGGGGATACACATCATGTTGTGGGAATTCTCTCTTGTGGGTGTGCATGGGTTATGCAGGTCGCCTTGAGACTTTTTATGGCAAGCCAGGACCAGATGTGCCTCCTACTCCTGTTCAGAGGTTTAGCCTGTCCTTCAGGCCATAATCTCCAGTCATTCCCTTAGTTACTGTCTCCAGGGTTTGATTGGCAGTGCTTTGTTTTCCTACAGTGAATCTTTTATTCTTTCCATGCTATCTTCCTTTGCATCCTGATTTTTTCCACAGCTGTTAGAGCCAAAGTCTGATATAATCTTTATTTATAACTCTAGAACCTAAGCCCTAAGTGCACTCTGGTTGCCCTCTGCTCCACCTTTCAAGCCATGTGGTGCTGCACCTCTCCTGTGACTGAGACTGTATATAGGCCTCCAAATGTGGTTTCCCTGGTGCTTTGAATGGTGCTAGAATAACTTCCACTAATTTATACTTTCAGTGTATATATGAACCCTTAGGACCTGTTTGCCTTGACTCAAATGGCTGCTCAAACTTGTGCAGATGGCTTTAATGCATGAGCTGCAGTAACTCCCATCTCTGTCCCAGTTGCTGCGCAGTTGTGTGAAGCACCAGCGTGTGCTTGATTTGCCTCATTTATTCACACTCTTGAAAGCATAGCCCCGTTGCTTTAACACAAGAATTATCTCTAGTGTCTAAAGCATAATTGCCACAGTTATGAGGAGAAGACAGGCTAGGCTGTTATTAAATATTTAAAATGGTTTCTGTAGTTGTGGAGCCACACCTCTGTTTATTGTGTTTATTCTGAGTCCAGCTTTTTGGGTCTTTCCTGAAAAGCTTAGTTACCATCACTTAATCACATGGCTAATTACAGTGAAGCATCATTACAGCAGTGCACAGGGAGCTGCAGGCATTTTAGTCATCTGTGACAGTAATGCCTGTCTCAAACACAGTTTTTTGATGATGTATGTCAAATCCCACATGCAGTTCAGCACCCTTGTTTTCTTCTGGCAAGGTGCATTTAAAGCACAAACATGTATGTGCTCCCTTGTCAGCTGGGCGCATTCTTCTCTGCATCTGTCTGAAGTGGCACTAGGTATATCAATTTCACTAGCAATCCTAGATAATCGAGAGACAGTTGGAAACAGGAGAAAACACTTATTTTTCACATTGTTCTGAAAATACACTCAGCATTTCGGTATGTTACAAGAAACTACAACTGTGGTCTGCACAGACTGAAACTGGAATGCAGTTTTCACCTCAGGTTGGGTGAGGGGGGAATTCATGCTAAATTTTAAGTGAAGTAGTTGAAGGGAAACCATAAATGTAGTATGTCAGCTTCTTATGAGCCCCGTGGTTTGCCTGCCGTGTTACCCTGCAGAAATTCTGACTGTAGTTAAAGGATGTGTAGAAGGCCTAGTTTCATTGTGTTGGTGTGGATTTACCATTGCAAGGCTTCATTGTGCTAATAATGGATTTTATGTTGCTGTGGTTAATGTTGGTGGGATTTTACACAGAGGTATAATAAATGATGCCATCATGGGTTGGTTTGATTTAGGTTCATCAGCTACACAGACCTTTAATCCTTTCCCAATTGTGCATTCCTGTTCCTGCTGTCCCAAAATACGTGTCTTTGCAGGTGTTGTCTTGCTGCTGATGTAGAGCCTATAATCTTGCTTCTGCTGCACCTCTTTGGTTTTTTCCAATTCAGCACAATGGAGTGGTACTTTCTTTATATGTAATAGGCTTTACACACAGAACTTTGTGTTTAGGATCTGTGGAAATAAAGGATGTTCATGTTATTCTGCTGCTGTGCTTAAGGAATGGGCTCAACACATGCTGCTGCCTCTGTTAGTTGTGTACTTCGAAGTGTGGATCCTGTGCTGTGCAGTCAGTGCAACTGTTTACTGTCAGGTTTTGATGTATAGGTGCAACTGTACTTGGCACAATGTAGGAAATCTTTACTGGGCAAAGAGGTAAACTTGAGAGGCAAGGAAACCTCACTATACAAACTCTTTAGAGTTGCTTTTGTAAACAGAGGCAAGACAGCTGTGTTCACCATTATATTTTATTGTCAGAATTGCACCATGTTTTTCCTCCCATAAGGTATGTAAGGTTATTGCTTCCCATTTGCCAGAAAATGGAAAATCCAGTGTAGAGACCTACTGTTCAGAGGATATGAATTTATATTCCTCGTAGCAGCTTCTATACAATTAAAACATGTGGGAGTGAGATTTTCATGGAGTGGTATCAGCCTTGGTGTCCAGTGTTAGTCATGTCCATGCCCTCTGACTGAAGTGAGCATTCAGTGAAAATATTATCCATGAGAGAGAAGAAAATCCTTTACTCTGCTGCACACCAATTTAAAGTAATAAGAGGAAACAGAGTGTTTTAAAGTTTTCTTATATTAAGGTGTTCTGGGTTGGAATTGGCCATGAATTAAAACTAATATTTTTCCTTCAAAAATTTCCTTCTAGGAATTATTCCTTCTACGTGCTTGACAACCACAATCTTCAGCAGCTGTGGGACTGGAACCATCATAACTTGACGATCAAGGAGGGGAAAATGTACTTTGCATTTAATCCTAAACTGTGTGTTTCTGAGATTTACCGTATGGAGGAGGTTTCAGGAACCAAGGGGCGACAGAGCAAAGGCGATATAAATCCAAGGAACAATGGGGAGAGAGCCTCTTGTAAGTAAACAAGAAAAAAAAAAATCTCAAGGCAAACTGCATAGGAGGGTGTCACAAAAAAAAAAGAAAAAAAACACATACTGCCACATTGCTGTCCACTACAATATTTACAGTTTAGAAATTACAGTAGGTTTTCAGTCATTCTGTTTGTTCAGTTTTTAAAATGTAGCTGTGAAAGTATGTTTGCATGCATGGAAAATTATGTGGTTGCATAGTCACTGTGTCATCTGCAAAAACCATTTGAGGAAGACAACTGCTTTCCAAATACCCTTTGTTGTGACAGCGGCATTGTATAGCAATGGGAACATACCTGGGAAACGAGAAATAAAATCTAGTGGTTTGGTATATCCAGCAAGGAGTGGTTTTTTGCTTTCCTCTGCAAATGTACATCATTATAGGTGGTTTCCTCTCTTGGACATCTACTCTTTCTTGATACTGAGGAGGCTGCTGAATAACAGTTCCACAGACACCAAAACAAACTGTTTCTGTTCTGTACAATCTCCTTTTCAGCTTCTGCCAAATCTTGTACCTTGTTGCTAGAAATGCATGTTGTAAACTCAGTTTTTTCTGCTTTATTTTCAAATAATTTGCTTTTGAATTGAAAACACTTCTTTGTGTTCTACAGTATTCCTAAACTCTATTGTACCTGCATTTAATTTTGGATTCTGCAATGGCAGAGTTATTGGAAAGTTCTCTTTTGGCTTCAGTGGTCTGCACATCAGGTCTCCAGGTGTAATGAACACATTTAAAAGCAGTCTCTCATCTAGGAATTAAGATGACAGAATGCCTACAAATTTGACCTCATGCTCAAACTCTTAGAACTGACAGTGTGTTTTTCCTTTTGTCTATTTGTGGTATTCTTGGAGTTGAGTAAATGAAAATGGATCTTGTGTATAAGTGAAGTCCCCTTGTTCTGGATGGTGTTTACAAAACTAGGACACGTACTCTGCTGAATGTCTCTTTAGGCGTGATGCATAAATGCAGATGGCATAGATCCTTGTTGTAAGCACACTCCATTCTTTGCACATTCAATAGAGCAAAGGCTTGCAGTCCTGGAGGAGTTACAGACACACAGCCAGTCCTTACTACCACTGAGGCTAGTGCCAGCCGCTGCCTGTTTTTTTAAAAAAACATTACAGAAAGCTTTCTGACTCCGAGAAGGGGAAAAGAATCAACAAAAGCTAACTGCCTTTGAAAAGATAGCACCAATAGTGCCAGTGTACATGAGGGTGAAAACCCCTTTATTTTCAGAGAGTTCTATTGGAACATTAGAAACTAACTCACAGTTGACACTTAGAACACAATTTCTTCATCCAAGAAATTAAGTTTTTAAAATGCTATTTTGTTTTGGATTGGAAAGCTCAGTGAGTTGGTAGTGGGAAGCCATTCATTTCAAAGCTGCCAGCTTCCATCCAGCTCTGTTCAGAAGAGTAGCTGGAAGCTGCTGCCATCAAATGGTTGTGCCGTATATGAACTGAGTTTTGGAGTTCTTGGTCCAGCCTCTCATGAATAGGAATGTAAATTCCTTTGTCCTTTCCATGTTGTCCATTCCTTAGAAAAACAAATTGTAGTTGTCAAAAGTTGTCCTGGAAAGTGAGAACACAGAGGCCAGTTACTTCTCTGTGCATGCATTGAAGTTGGATGATTAATTTAGTGCTTCTAAACCAGTCCTGTGAATAAACAGGACTTCCATTCCTTGCTCAGGGAAAGTCTGAAGTAGTTTTCAAGAGCTTTCTGATGATGCATTAAAAGAAAATACGCTTCAGAAAAAATATTGCAGGTATCTCCACCATATTCTGAAATGATTGCCAAGGTCACTGCTTGCCCTTAAGCACTCAAATGTAGTAGAATGAAATACTAAACTCTACAGAGACAAAGGCTGTTGGTACACTGTGGTTATCGTAGGCACTACTGGAAAGACTAATTGACCAAAACTGATACCTAAGAAACAGCAAAAACCAATGGGTGATGTGGTGCTAACTCTGTCACGTCCTGTCCTTTTGTATTGCAGGTGAAAGCCACATACTGCGTTTTGTTTCCAACACTACGCTCAAGAATCGGATTAAACTAACATGGGAACGGTATCGCCCTCCAGATTATAGAGATCTCATTAGCTTCACTGTTTACTACAAGGAAGCGTAAGTAGATGTCGTCAGAGACTAATGGGACAGTCCAAGAAATAGTAGACAATTCTATTCAGACTGTTGGATATCTCTCCCGCTTCACATATTTACTCCTCAAGTCCTGCTTTTGTTCAAATTCTTTTCTTGGTGGAGCACAAGCCCCCTTTAAAAGAGGATTGTTTTGATTGAAGCCTACAAATGGATTCCAAATCCATCAGGAAGTTTCAAATTTGGGGGGGGGGGGGGGG